TTCCCTTGCACACGTGGAGGCTCCCAGCAACATCAGGAATCCCCCACTTACCACTGACCAAGGCTGAGGACTGACACCCTGGGAGGTGTGACAAAGTCATCAGGCTAGATCTGGAAAAAAAATACTTTTTGGTTTCCAATTCAATTTTAAAAATGTAGGCTCGGGCCTCCCTTATGGTGCAAGGGGTTAAGTATCAGCACTATGATGTAATCCGTAGCTACTACATCAGGAATTTGATCCCCGGCGAGGGAGGTTACCCACATGGGAAAGCAGACCTCTCCTCTTCCCCACTGCTCCCCTCAGCAGTGTATTTCTGTCAGTCGCCTATTCTGCTTCCTGCTCTCTCTGCTGAATCCTCTCAGACCATCACCACTGGTCTGTACCCTAGTTCTTGCATGCACAAATAAATAAGAATTAAAAAAATAAAAAAGAAAGCTCTTTGCCTATTGGTAGGAGACAGTGGCTCTGCAAGTGGATATTGGAATCAATCAACTCTATGTGTATATACAGTTATTCCCCATATATATCCTTGTTTAATCCTTTCTGTAATTTCAGAAAAAGAAAAGAGAATTATTAATGTATCATCAGATTTCTGAAGATTACAAACTATAGGGTCCCCCCTGGTGATTCAGGGGCAAAGTCTCAGCACTATAATGCTATCCAAAGCCACTGCAGGAGGAGTTTGACTCTGTCCAGGGAGCTGACCCACATGGTTCATCGGGGAGGGGCAGCTGCCCTCAGCAATGTATTTCAGTGGATCTGCCTGTTCTGCTCCCCACTCTGTCTCTGGTGAATTTTTCTCACTCCCTGTAATGCTGGCTTACATCCCAGTTATTGTAGCATAAATAAATAAAATAAATCTTTTAAAAAGATTATAAAATATAGCTTAGCACAAAGGATAAATAAAATATAATTTTATAACAAAATAAACTCCAAAATCCAGCTAGCTCTCTCTTTTGTTAAATCATATTTTAGAGTGTGTTCAGGGAAAAAGAAATCACCACAAAGGATCTATAGTCATCACACACTTGAACATAACCTGATTACAGTAAGGTAGTAACAGGTCATCTGTCACTTTCAGTGTTTCTGTGGCATCCCTATTTGTGGGTGTCTGTGTCACATGTGGAAATATCCCCTATTCCTATGGGGTGATCACAAGATTTACATGGAACAGGGGCAGGTGGTTGATGTCAGTGAAGAAGGGGACACATATTCTAGGTTAGCTCTGGGTGCTGTATCTGTTGCGTGCATCTGAATAAATAGTACATTAAACAGGATGTCACTGATGGCTGAGAGTCACTCAGATAGTTGAGGTAACGAGAGTAATTAGAAGTGGTGAGCTGCACTTCTTGGGTTAAGGAAAGACTCACTGTTGAAACACCTGTGTGCAAGGGTCCTGGATAGTATAAACGTGAAATTTCTGAATGACTAAATGAACTCCATTAACTGGGTGAAGAAATACAAGGCCACACTATCAAAAACTTCTTCTCTGAGTAAGCACAAATGTGTGGCTGTCATTACAAGAATTCCCCCTGCCTTTCATGACAGTTCTTCACCTTAGTGTGTCACTAAGTGACACACATGATTAACACATGATTTCAATTTTGTCTGGTATCTAAAATTTAAATCAGTCATGCTATGTTCATTTTATTTCTTGACTCTTTCACTCAATAACATGTTGGCAAGCTGACCCACATATTGGATTTAGCTAGAGTCTCTTTATTTTCGCTGTTGTATAGTATTCCACCGAATGCAAAGTAGCTTCTCCCTTCTGTTCTGCATGCACAGTATATTTTTTCATAAAATTTTTATATCCATGCTGGAATAAAACTATATTTGCAATTTTGTATCTTTTTTTTCATTTAATGTTATAACATAAGTGTTTTGCAAGTCATTGATAACTATTCAGAAAGATGGTACCTAATTGCTACATTTATTGTCACGTATTTGACTGTTCCCTCGAGTTCTGATGGAGATCGTTTCCTGTATTTGTTAGTACAAGAATTTTCTGTTGAGCATCTTTACGGATATACATTTTTATTTGTGTCCACAACATTACCTTAGGTCATTTCTCAAACACTGCATTACTATTTGTTTTAATGCACATGCATATATATAATATTCCAAATTCTAATAGCTGAATCAAAGTTCCCCACAGAAGGGCCATACAACATTTTTCTGAATGAGCGAGAACCCCTATTTCAGGGGTTTCTTGCCTCCACGTCATACATCTCACCATCTTGAAGGCTCTGACTTCACACACTCCCACTTCCTGACCCCCTCTGCGCAGGCCTCCCCCCTAGACGACTCGACTCTCTGCGGCTAAATCTCCCCATGGCGAGGCTGAACCGCCCCTCGGCCCCGGCTCCATCCCCACTGAGGCCCTGGCCAGGCCTAGGGCCTCTGAGCACCATTATCCCGCCTGGGCGGCACCGCGCCTCCGAGCCACCAGGGGGCGCGCGCCGCGTCTCCGTGCCTGGCTCCCCCGCGAGCTTGTCCTTCCGCGGCCTCGCCCCGCCCCCTGCGTGTTGATGTCACGGCCCTGTGTGCTGACGCGGGAGCGGAAGTGGCGGGGAGACAGGGCCTGGAGCGCCCGCCCTGATGGAGCAGGGCTGCGGGCCAAGGAGGGAGCAGCCCGGGGGCAGCGCGCAGGCGGGGAGCGCGCCGGCTGGGGGCGGGGCGGGGAGAGGCAGGGAATAATGGGGGGCGGGGCGCCCCGTCTCTCCCTGTGGCGGCAGCGGGCTCGGGCCTGTGCGGTCGCGGGTGAACAATCCTCGCGTGTTTTCAGTCACGGGGCGCGACTTGCTGTGGAGTCGCGTGGAAATTCTACGTTAACGGCGTCGTGGAGACGCGGGGTGTTCGCCTCCGTGTAGTTGGGTTTTCTGAGCTTCGGCGCAGCAGGACGGGCGGGGGCGCCCCGTGAGCCCCCGGGTTCTCCCGCTGGCCCGGCCCTGGGCCCCCCGACACCCGCCCCTGCCGCCCTGGCCCTGCGCCCGCTCCCGCCTCCCCCGCTGCTGGGGTCTCCTCGGCACTCGCTGCTCCAGACTCGGGTGAAGCTCTTGCCTGCGGGAGCCCCGTTTCTTCAGGAACCACCCGAGCAAGAGGGAGGTGAGGACAAGTCGCTGCCGGTGGCTGGTGCAGGGGGGCCAGTCAGGGGACCCGGGGCGGGGGGCTGGGGGTGCAGAGCTCTGCGCGGGTCATTTTGGGTCCTGGAGGAACGTGGGGGTCAGGTCGTTCCTGAGTGTGACCCCGTGGTGGCCAGCGCCCCTGACCAAAAGCGCGTCCCCCGTGTTTGCTCCCAGCACCTCCCTGCTGCACTGATCACCTGTGGGGTGGGATTGCCGGGCACACCGCTGTGTGCCACTTATTTGTGTGCTTAATTTCTGTGAACTTAGAATATAATTTGGGGAATTATGTTTACATTTTGTAATTTTCTCTGGGGCTGACACCCCCTCCCCACCCAGCTCCAGCAGGCAGGAGGGCAGAGTCGTGTCCCAGTCTTCCCAGGACACAAGTTATTACCCAGGGGGTTGCTGGCGCCTGGGGCTCTGCATTTCTCACAAGGGGTCTGAGATGCTGCCCCTGCTGGTCTTGGGCCCGCATGTGAGGGCTGCAGCGCCGCTTCCCTGTTGTGCAGCTGACGTGGTCTTTCAGAGCCTGGAAGAGGGACCTTGGACCCCTGGACACTGCCTCAGGAGGCGACTTTACACTCTCCCTTGAAGAGAATCCAGACTTTCCTGAGTCTTGAGTGACCAGGAGCCACACAGCCTGCCACAAGCTGGCTACAAGTGTTTGGTTTTCTAAAATGGGTTATTATTAACCGACTCCATGCAGTGAATACAGTGGCCCTCTCTGCGTCACTAAAGGACACACCCAAGAAACCATTCAGCAGGGTCAGCTGGGCGCTGTCACAAACAGGGAATGAAATTTTCTCAATGGGGAGTTTTTTTGTCTTTTTATTGTAATTAGTTGTTTTGGTTTACAAAGTAATTATGGTCTCAAAAATGAATTGGGTTTCGCAGGAGGCGCAATACAGAGGCAGAGTGAAGACACTGGGCTCACTGCCGCCATAAACTCACAACACTGTGCAGGACAACATCAATGCCCCTGAAAGAGAAATGGGTGACCAGGGCACACACCAGGAGCAGGGACCAATGGCTAGAAACCGGGAAAACGTTAACTGACCTGCATCTACAGTTATACTGGAGCAGAATTAAAACCCCTACAGATGTGGACTCGGGGACACAAGCCACATTGGGGACTTTGGAGATTCAGCACTTCCCTCAGTGCTGGGCTCAACCCTCTGGGCCCTCCAGGAGGCCCTATTTTTGAAGACATCGTACCAATTCTATACAGACGGGTGTGTTTTTCTGATGGTAGAAGGTACATAAATACTTCATACCTATAGAAGCACACACAAGCCACACTCATGTAGACTCACATGCACACACTTGCACGCAATGCAAGGCATGCACATACACCTAAAGAATATAGTGCAAATACCTTATTCCATACTCACAGCTAGCTCTGCTTCACACTCCTGTCTCACTGTCTGATCACCATGTGACCCCTCTGACTTTTCTAAAACTTTCTAAATGCTTTCCAAAATTTTCTAAACTTTTCACTGCTGATACAAGAATGTTAAAGGAAATTTAGGTCTCTGGCGTCTGATGTGTTGGAAGTGTGGGTGCAGTAATAAACGGGAAGCAAATGCGGTCAATTTCATACACCATTTTAATGTGTCCTGGGGTAGACATTTTAACTAAACAATCCATTTCAGACTGTCTCCTCCAGTCAGAGAAAGAGCATCCAGATGCCTCCACCCCCCAGGGTCCCGCAGGCAGAGCGGGTCACCTGGAGGTGCCCCTGCAGTGGGAACCAGTGTGTCCACAGCGGCCGCCTCCTCGAACCCTATTGGACCTGCATGGGAAGAGCAGAGCCAGTGATGCCCAAGCACGGAGGAGGCTCTTTCCTTAGTGACACCCACCGGGAAGTGCTGCATGGACTCAGATGCGACAAAGTGCAGATGGAAACCAGGAGGCCCAATCGAGGCGCCACTCGCTGGCAGGTAAGCAATTCTCAAAGTTGGAATCTCCGTTGTGAAATGGGGCTCAGTAGAGGGGGACTTCCTACCGTGTATGTCAGTCCCTGACAGCGCCAGTCAGACCGAAGAGCTCCTGCATCGTCTGTGCCGTCCGGGTGTCCAGGGGCCACCAGCAGGGCCCTCATGGGATAGAGCCTAAGATGGGGAAGCAAGGCCCTGGGGTCCCAGCCTCTGGCCCTGGGGCCTCTGGAGGCTCAGCCCGCACAGCTCCACTCCCATCCCGGGCCCTGCACCTGTTCAGCTGCCCTAAGCCCTCCTCTCCCTCCTTCCTCTGCTCTGTTCCCCTCAGGTGCTTCACCAGACCCATTGCAGTCCCTGCCCTTCACCTGCTCTGCTCCTGGGACTGCTGTGCTTGCGGACATCTGTGCTCCACGCCTATGTTCTCATGCTGCTCCTGGCCCCTCTGGCTGGGCCCAGCCCCTGACCCCTCTCCAGGGCTCGGCCTCCGCTGGTGTGCTCCTTTCACTATGGCCACTGAGTGGCTGCCCTGGAGCGGGGAAGTGAATTCTAGGGAGGTGCTGGTGATCATCTAATCCCCAGCAGGGTGAACTCTGCTCTTGTGTTTTCTTCCAAAGGGTGGACAGAAAATGCAACATTTTAAAATCCTATTAAGGATTCAATGAGCTCTGGCCTTATAGCCTCTGCTGGACAGAAGTGTGGATTGGGAATGATGTTCATGGCCCAGTGTCTCTGCAGGGGATGGGCTGAACAGGAGGTTCCTCCTTGGGGTTATTCGGGTGGTGCTGGAGTGCTGCGGGGCTGGGCTGGAGGTCTTCCTAATGCTTTCCTGGCCCCCCTCCAGCTGGGGGCCTAGCAAGGTGGTGCTGGGCCGCAGGGCTTCCTCCTGTAGAGGACCTGGCAGTGATGTGGTGTTCGGCCCCCAGGCCTCCCGCAGCACAGGCCCTGACCTGGAGGCCATGCTGGGCTTCCAGGTGTCTGGCAGCAGGGGCCCAGAGCCGGAGACAGAGCTCTGCACACTGGCATCCTTCTGCAGGATGCCTGGCCCGGAGGTGGTGGGGGGCTTCTGGGTGTCCTGCTTCCGGGACAGTCCCACCCTCAAGATTTCGCGCCCCGAGACCTCAGGCTGCTGGTGGTCCTCTGGTATCGGGACGCAGTGGGCCCCTTTGGGACTAAGGAGCTTGGGGAAGATGGCGGGGTCCGGCCCCTCCTCGTCCAGACACTGCCTGGAAAGCAGCATGAGGTAGGACCACATCACACGGTCATACCTGCCCTCCAAAAGCGCCCTGTCTATGACCTCTTTACGGAACCCCAGGCGGACCATGGCTTCCATCGCAGCCTTGTGCTGGCCAGGGACGGCTCGCGGCAGGGCGGGAGTCCTTTGTGCAGCCCCACCCTGGGGTGCTGGATGATGCTGTCCAGGGTGCTGCGGCTGTGGGGGTCGAGCGTCATCATCTTCCTCAGCAGGTACCGGCACTGCTGGGAGAGGTAGTGCGGCTCATTGTAGACGACGCTCAGCACCCTGGCCCGCAGCTCTCCGAGGCTGGTGCCCTTGAAGGGCAGCTCCCCGGTGACCATGTCATAGAGGACCATCCCCGGGCTCCAGATGTCTGCCGCGGGGCCACTGTATTCCTGTTGACGGATGATCTCAGGCGCCATAAACTGTGGGCTGCCACAGGGGGTCTTGAGCAGCTCCGCCCTGGAGAACTGGGCGTTGAGCCCGAAGTCTGCCAGTTTTATGTTTCAGTGCCTGTCCAGGAGCAGGTTCTCCGGCTTCAGGTCCCGGTGCACCATGCCCCGGGCATGGCAGTGGCTGAGTGCGGCAAGGATCTGCTGGAAGAGGCGGTGCACCTCCATCTCCCCCAGGTGCCCGCACCTGCACAGGTAGTCCTGCTGGTCACCCCCCCTGTGCGCGCTCCAGGACCAGCAGCAGTTTTTATTTAGTATCCAAAACACACTGATTGTGCTGATGCTAAAATCCTCAGTATTAAAATTAATCATCACATCTCCCATAAATCAAATTATTTTAATATGATCAATGTGTTAAGTCAATATCATAGACCATCCTAAATTAAAAAATGATGTTTTCTCTCATTGAGTCTCACAGAGGCTGACACGGCAGTGGGACATTGAGCAACGTGGGCACCTTCAGCATTAGTTGTCATGATTTAGAAAATGAATAGTTTACCTAGGCACATTCTCAAGTCTAGAATTAAGCTTGAATTTGAAAACTTTCAAGTGTGAGTGGATTCTCCCCTGCAAATGGCTGGGGGCAGATACCTGCATTCTTGGGGAAAGATCCAGCTGCCATCGAGTCTCTGTCCTGAGGTTGTCCCCATGGTGCGGACAGAGGGCAACCCGGCCTCTCACTCCATGGTCGTGGCTCATGGGGAGCCTTTGAGCACTCACAGGATGTTCCACCCCGTCCTGCACCGCCTCATGGACAGAGCAGGGCCTCAGGGCTGGGCTATTTGAGCTCTGGAGCTGGTGTCCGTGTGTTGGACACTGTCCACATACCAACCCTCAGGGACCTTCCTCCCGAGGGAATGTGTGTATTTACTTGACTGTGTTAATTGGAGTGTCCTGCAGTGCATCTCAGCGACTAATTATCACACTTGGTGTGTAGATGTGATTTTGTGTCTGACTCACGCCTCTATGGAAGTGAATAGATAAATCCTCATGTCCAGGTTCCATTCCCCACCTATAGGGTCCACCGTGGTGGGCACCATCAGTCATAACAGTGCCCTGAGTCCCTGTCTAGATAGCTGGACAGTCGCCCATCACTCCCCGTGTGCCCTTCACAGAGAGGTCCTGGGGATGGGCATGAGGGTGGATGTGGAAAGGCCTGAGGCGGGAGGGAAGGGACATGGAGAGAGGCAGGAGGGAGCGCAGGGAGGGGGAGTGGGGCGGAAAGACAATGGACGTCCAGCAGAAGTGAGTGACCATGGGGGTCACCAGCCCTGCGGGAAGAGAAACTTTACTCATCTCTGAAATTGTGTATCCTGCAGTTCTTTTCCATCACAGCACCTGTCCCTGCACTTACATTAGAATAGTCCTTTTGTTGGAATAATTTGCTTTGTCCCTTAACAAATTGGAGTAGAATATTAGGGTTTCTGCTCATGGTGTCATATCCTTAGTTTTGTTGCATGACGATGGTGACGTCACACATGGAAACAGGTGTTTATCTGCTTGAGTTTACTCTTCTGTAGGGGGTGGGGCGGGACCTGCTTCACTCTGCTGCGTGTGTCTGTCTGCTTCTCCCAGCACCATCTCCCCACTTTCCTGTTCCAGTGCCTGCTCTGGTGCCTCTGTCGTAGAGTCACTGTCCATCCTGATGAGAGTGGGTTCCTGGGCCCTCGTTATATTCCAGGGGTCTGTGTCTGCTTTTGTCCCAGTGCCATGCTGCTTTAACTATTAGAGCTTTGTTGTGTTGACTTGAGTCTGGAATGTGCTGCCTCCATACTTCCTCATTTTTGTCAGGAATATTTTGGGTTCTGTTCTTCTGTGGTTATATATATATATATATATATATATATATATATATATTTAAATATTATTTGTTTCATATCTGTGAAGAATACCATCAAAATGTTCATTTGGATTGCATTGAATGTGTAAATTGCTTTGGGTCTGATGGACATTTTGCAATGCTGATTCTTCAATCCATGAGGAGGGGTTATCTTTCCATTTTTTGGGCATTTCCTATTTATTTTAAGAATGTCTTTCAATTTTCCATCTTTTAGGTTTACTCCTAGGTACTTAATTTTGTGATTACATATAGGATTGCTTTCTCAACTTCTCCTCTTCATATTTTAATTTAATTTGTTTTTTTTTTGGACTCTCTGGAGTTCTCAAATGTATAATAACATGTTGTCCAACAATTTTAAATGTCTAAATTCAAACAAACTTGAGGTGTTTAATGTTTTATTAATTTACATATTTTAATTATGCTATACAATGACTTGAATAGTCTCAGTGAATGTTATAATGCTCTGATTCAGGTTCTTAACTCAATACATATATTGGATTCTTATTGTATCCCAAAACTTTACACCTATAAAGTATAACAATACCAATAATTAATATGAAGAAAGTCATTTATTGGCAGAAAAATTAAAATTGCCTATCACTTAAAAGAAGAGTATGAAGTTGTCATCCCACACTTACAAAGATGGAGATGTTGCCATTTTCTAACCATTCCTGGCAGCCACCTTATTTACTTTGTGCCCACATGGGTCTCACCTGGGCTGGAGGCAAGGTAGGCCTGACTAGCGGCCTCGCAAGGTGAACTCTGTGAGAATGACTTAAATGTCTGACATCCAATTGGGACTACATTTTCATCATAAAATATTTTGGTGTGTAATTTTCAAATGTAGGACGTCACGGGCAGGAAAGCAAAGGTGGATGCAGTCAGCAGAGAGGAGCTGAGGCCAGACAGCAAGTGACAATCATGGGGCATTTCACTTCCCAAATTGAAATCTCCTTCAAATTCTTTATTATCTTTGTGTACACTGAATGATAATATTATTTTATTGTACGTCAATCTGATGAGGTTTTTCATTTTAACGTGTTCATAAAAAATGCAGACATTCTAGGTACGATTCCTCTTTATGACCTGCCCGGCCAGGGCATTGTTCTGCCATTCCTGCCCAATCTAGTGATGAAATAAATGGGGACAACACTCCTGTAAAGTGTGGAGTGAGGTCATGGATGGCATCCCTAACACATTTCTGGAAATATTAGATATGAGTTTGGCTACTAGCTATTAATTTGTTTAGAGCATCAAAACTTGCTAAGTTCTCTTATTGCTTCTCAAAAATTTCCACCCAATGCATTTTGTAATTTTCTTTTAGTAATTACAGTGCACATGAACTTAACTTTTTTATTCCTGGTGTCCACCGTGCACTGAGTGTGTTTATGGTAAATGCCCGTAGCACCCACCCACTAGAGCTTCCAGGAGTGTCTCCACCATGTCACATGTGTGGGTTTTTGTCCACAGAAGGTCGTGACTACTCAGATCCCAACTTGGACCAAAGGCCTTATTTATGCTGTGAAGGCCTCACTCACCAAGTAAAGGGGCCTCTGTCCTCCCCGAGGTCCCTAACCACGTGCCCGAGAATGTCAGTGACATGAAAGGGGAAGCCGCCTTAGAGACTGGACATGCTGCCCAGTGAGAGAACTTCTGCTGACCCCCTGAGATGAAACCCAACCATCACCTCTCTCGGCTGGGAGCACAGAAATGGAGACACGCAAAGAGTGTCTGGAAGTTCCCTCCAGTACACAGGGAATATCACAGTGTACCTAAGTGTTAAAAAGAGGAAAAATCAATTATATAGAGTATATGAGCATCAGACTGTATGAAGTCATCATAAATATAATTTAAAAATGAGCATATATATTTTTTTAATTTTACAATGGAATTATATGAACTTAGAAAAACATAAAGACCAGTATTGTGTGAAATTTTAAAATACGTGTCTCATAATGGAGTCATGAAGTCGTCTTCCCTATTACATTTGGGTGAGTCTCCCCTTCATCAGTCTCCCCACAGCCTACTTCACGGGTTGGTTCCTCAGACAGTATATGACGGGATTAAAGGTGGGGGGCACCACCGTATAGAAGATAGAAATGACCAGGTCAGACATGGACGGGTTCCCTGAGGTCGGCTTCAGATAAGCAAAGAATCCAGAGGAGAGAAACAGCACCACAACCAGCAGGTGGGGAAGGCAGGCTTTGTCCTTCCCTTCTGTGGATGGGATCTTCCTGACAGCAGAGAATATGTGGACATAGGAAATGACAATGAAAGTAAAACAGCAGGAATCCAACACCACAGTAATGAGAATGGGGACAAGTTTTCTCATTAAATTTCCTGAGCAGGAAATAATCGATAACTGGGGGACATCACAGAAGACCTGGTGTACCACGTTGGACCCACAGTAGGACAAGGAGAAGGTTCCAGCTGTGTGCATCACAGCCTGGAGATCCCCACCCAGCCAGGACACAGCTGTCAGCTGCACACACCTGTCCCTGCTCATGATGATGTCATAGTGCAGGGGGTGGCAGATGGCAGCATAGCGGTCAAGGGTCATCAACGGGAGCAGGTGCATCTCTGCACCAGCTGACATAACCATCACCAAGACCTGGGCAACACAGCCCAGGAAGGAGATGGAGCTGCTGTGCCTCAGAGAGTTGACAATGGACTTGGGGACCGTGGCTGAGATGAGACAGAGGTCTGAGAAGGACAGACTCCTCAGGAAGAAGTACATGGGGGTTTGGAGGTGCCAGTTCAGTGTGGTGATGAGGACAATGAGCATGTTCCCCAGCAGGGCACACAGGTAGACCAGGGAGAAGAGCAGTGGGTGCAAGGAAGCCCATGGTCCCCTGGGTGGGGAACCTCAGGAGGATGAATTCTGTCACGGCCGTGAGGTTGGTCACCCCTGGAGCCATCACTGCATGAAAGACTAGAGGAATAAAACACCATGATTGTCAGACAGTGCTGGACCTGCGGTGTCTCTCTGCAGGTGACCAGTGCTGTCCTTCCCCACTGACCTCTCTCTGCACCCTTTCCAGCGTCCCCCCTGCAGGGATCTCAGCTCTTGCTCTGCTCGGCCTCTCCAGCTTGTGACCTGCAGGTGCCACACTGTTCACGCCGCCTGTGGGAGATGCTGAAGGGCAGAGTTCAACTGACCTCAACCCCCTGAGCAGTCTCCTCCCGTCTCACCTCATCCTGTGCATGGGCACCCCTGAAACCCTGAGCCCGGCCCATCCTCTGCCATCCCCTGGCCCTAGTCCATGCACCTTTCAGGAGCAGGACCCCCAAGAACCCTCAGGAACATGAACTGTCAAGGATGCCCCAAATCTAGCCTGTGGGGTCTTAGCCCCGAGTCCATGCAAAACACTGGCCAATCGCAGCTCCAGGTATACATTTTGGGACCAAGTGGACACTGATGGCCCCGAGTCTGCTCCTGGTTGGCACCCACGTCCTTCATCAGGGCAGTGGGTGAGGAGTCCCTGCCCCGTGTCGCCGTCTGATGACCGTCTGGCCCTCGCGCCTGCTTGTATGCGCTGAGAGGGTGACCTCCCATCCTGCCCTCCCAGTCATTGATAGAGGCTGTTTATACATGCACTGGGTACAGTCAGAAGCGCGGGAGGGTGAGAGAATTCACCAGAGCCAGAGTGGGGAGCAGAGCAGGCAGAAGGACTGAAGTACACTGCTGAGGGGAGCAGCGGGTGGCAGGAGAGGTCTGCGCACCATGTGGGATCCTCCTCCAGGTGGCCGGGGAGCAGCCGGGGATCGAACCGGCGCCGCAGAGGCCGCGGGCAGCTCGCAACCCAGCGCTCAACCGCTGCCCCTTCCCAGTCATTGTTCTGCCCCTCCCCATGCCTGAGTAGCTGAGGTGTTTCTCTTGCAGCTACTTCCACAGGGCTCAGGCGCGGCCGCGGTCAGGGCAGGAGGGACGGTCCACCCCATGGCGACAGCCACACGCTCGGGGCTCCCAAGCCCGGGGCTCTCGCCTGGTCCCCACCGACACCCCGACAGACAGACCCGCTGCGGTGTCTGAGACTTCCCCCTCCTACACCCTGGCCTGATGCGTCCTCGCGCACTGCTCAGAGGGCTCCCCGGGCCGCTGTCTTGTCCCCGTGGGCTTCTTGGCAGCCCCGGTAATGAACCCCAAGGGTCAATGAGTCAGGGGCCCGGGAGGCCCCGTGGGCAAGACCTGGTCCCCCCTCAGTCCCATCACCCCTGACCCCGCGGGGACCAGGTGGCCCCAGTGTCAGAGCCAGGATAAGCCCGTCCACAGGAATCAGGAAAGTCACCAACACCCTCTGGGACCCCTGGTCCTGGCGGGTTGATGGGGGTGGAGTCGGGGGGAAGGAGGACAACCAAGAAAGCCCCAGGAGCGAGCCGGGGAAGCACCTGGGTATTCTGACACGGGTTTATTCGTGTCTCAGAATTATTTTTTTTTCCAAAAGGCTGTTTACCTCAGCACCTGGAAAGGGAACAACATGTGAACGGGCGTGTCTGACAGAGGCGGGTGGTGACCTTACAGTGGGGGTCAGGCCCGCAGCAGCGCTGTCCGGTGTATCCTCTCGGTGGGTGTGCCTCGGGCTCTGACACCAGAGAGTGGGGGGCCCTCTCCTGGGTGTGGTCTCCCCGAGTCCTCACAGGCCCTCCAGATCAGGGTCACACACAACAAACGAGCTCGTGGGTGGGCACGCCGGGACCCTCCCCTGCAGGCACAGGAGGGAAGGCAGAGGCCTGAGCCAGCATGAGGGACCCACCCTGACAAGCAGTCCCGGAAGCTGCAGCCCCAGAAACTGATGGTGATTCTGGAGTTTCTGCAGACAATGAGGGGAGGGCCTTGCCCCCATGGGCCTGTCAATGAAGCAGATTCCCCCGCCCCTCTATTCCGGCCGGCACACGACCCTCCAGGGATGCGGGTCCACTGGCCCGTTCCCCTTCAGTCCCTGGTGTCCTGCACCTCAGGGACACAGGGGACGCCCTGTTACTTGGGCCTGTGGGCTGTGGCTGGCAGCACCCAGGGGTCCATGGTCATGGGCAGAGGACAGTTGGGGGGTCAGCACGGGCGAACCCATGGATCAAGACCAAATCCCCACGTCCCGGGGAGGTAGCCCACATGGGCAGAGCCCACAGCAACAGTCCGCAGACCAGGCTGGACCGCACCAGATGCCGGGCCAGACATGCTGCGCCATCGAGAGTTCTCAAGGAGGCCAGACACAGGCGCCAGCCCCCAGGGAGCAGGCAGGTGAGCACCCGGCTCCGCGGGTGTTGCCAACAACACCAGTGTTCCAGCTCTTGGGGTGTTGGCGCCCGCCAACTGCAAACAGCCAGCAGAGACTGGGCTGAGGCCCAGGTTCTCTTCGCAGGAGTTGCCAGAGGCAGGGCCTGAGGCAGGTGAGCAGCGGGGTCTCTGCGGAGGTCTCCGGGGGTCTTCAAGTCTATGGAGGTTCTGAAGTCGAGAAATACAAAGGTCATGAGAGCACTATGACTGACTATGCTAGCAAATTCAATAATGTTTTTTTTTTCTTTATTTAAAGATTTATTTATGCTTACAAGAACTGGGGTACAGGCCTGAGGCAAGGGAGGGTGAGAGGATTCACCAGAGACAGAGTGGGGAGAAGAACAAGCAGACTGAAGAAATACACCACTGAGGGAAGCAGCAGGTGAGACAGGAGAGGTCTGCCACGCCATGGGGGAAGCTCTGAGGCTGGCAGGGATCATACAGGCACTGCAAAGGCTGCGGACAGCTTCACAGTGCTGCACTACATTCACCTCTTTCACTAGGTTAATTCCCAAGTATTTGATTTTTTTGGTTTCAGTTATAAAAGGGATGGTTTTCTTGATTTTTCTTCTGCAGACTGATTGTGCATAGGAAGGCTACTTATTTTTGCGTGTTGATTTTGAATCCTACTACTTTACTGAACTGGTTGATTATTTTGAGTAGTTTTTCTGTGGCGTTTTTAGGGTTCTCAGTGTATATTATCGTATTGTCTGCAAATAGTGATAGTTTTGCTTCTTCTTTCCCCATGTGCATTCCTTGTATGTTTAGACATAGGTATTGACACTGATTTGGACTGTGAGGCACTTCTAAAATTAAGCCAACAGGTTAAAATACAGCAAACAAATTCAATGTGGCTAATGATGTAAACCTTTATGACATCGCACGTGACATTTGTCATTTGAAGTACTTTGAAATATTACTTGAAACAAAGTTTCCCTAGTCAAAGTGTTTGAATCAATTTCCTGATGGAGAGTGAGAAAATGTTCCCATGTAAAAAGGCAAGGGGACAGTCAACATGTACTGTTCTTTAGAATGTTCTTGTTTTAGGACTGGTTTGGGTCAGTCAAAAGCATTCTTGCCATAAGCAAAACTGTGTCAGGAGCTCAAGACACAGGAGGGAATTCCATTCTAGCATGAAATTCTGAAAACATGTTAGTATGATTTAGGTGCAGATGACACTGTGAAGGGAGGAGAGGATGTGGTTCAGGAAGAAATGTGTAACACCTGCCTGCAAGGCGGTCAGAAATGACATGTGGGTTGGAGGAAAGTCAGAGAGTGGTAGGCGCATCTGGGCATTCTGCAAGAACAAGAGCAAATGCCCCAGGTGGCAACAGGATGTGGCAGAAAGAAGAACACCCAAATATCCCAAAATAGATGACAGGATCAAGAAGATGTGGTGCATATACACAATGGAATATGACTCCGCAATCAAAAATGATAAACTCATGCCATTTGCAGCAATATGGATGAAGCTGGAAGGGGTCATGCTTGGGCAAAATAAGCCAGAAAGAAAAAGAAAAATACCAGACGGTCCTACTCATAGCAGGGATTTAGAAAACCTAAATAAGGGACCAGGAAAATACTAATTATAATAAAGTAAAAATCACAATCAACAGCATCTACAAGCCAGAGACACACTACCGTGTCGGGAAGGAGGGAGTAGGATCAAACAAGGGGGTGGGAATTGTACGGGGACCATAACCAAGGTGAAAATGCATACATTGGCAAAAATGAAAAATGATGTAAATATACATAAAATTAAAAACGAGAAAGAAGGGCAGCTCACCCAGCAGGGCTGGACAGGGAGGGGAGGCGGGTGGGGGCAGGGCTGAGGCCAGAGGGGCAGGGAAGCCTGTGCAAAGGGGTTTTGGGGAAGTGCCAAGCCCAGTAGGGCCACGGGAAGGCGTGAGGCCAGCGAGCGGATGGTCTGATTGATGCTCAAGCTCTTCCCTGGGTGTGTGGGGAGGTTGAAGGAAGGGGAGGAACCAGAGCGGGCACCGCAGCCCTGGCCCGTGACGCGCAGCATCCCAGGCTGGTGGGGGCATCGTGGGTTCTCAGAGGCGAGAGTGAATGCGTAGACTCCGTGGGGTTTGCAGCCCCTGAGGCTGAGGCGGGTTTGGACACAGGCGGCTGCAGAGGGCGGACTCCCCCGAGGCGGCCGTGGAGGTTGTGTAGAAAGACTGGAACGGGCCCGCGAGTGCACCCCCAACACGGGAGAGGCCGCGACCTCTCTGTGCGGCAGCCGGGAGCAGCGGTGGTCGCAGGAGGAGCAGCATGGCCTCTCCTGGCCGCTGCTGGGTCAGGTCCCCAGGGGGCGGGAATAAGGGAACCTGCCCTGGGCGTCCTGTCCCCCGAGAGGATGACACCCTCCGCCCTCCGGGCTTGGGACACGCGGCGCTGGGGCCCCTTTGCCTGACCCCCCACCCCGAGCACAGGCTCTGAGCCTCGGGGCCCTCGCCGCGCCCCAGGCTGCTCAGGGGAGACCTGGTCCTCAGCGGATGCTGTGCGTGAGTGATCAGGGTTGGCCAGGCGGGGGGAACCTGCAGCCTGAGCAGCAGCGGACCCCACTGCTCACGCGAACCCACCACTTCCAGAAGCCACGCTGTTCCCCTCAGGGCACAGGGCCACAGCGTCTAGACCTGGCCTTTGCCAACCTCTGCTCCCCGACCCCGAGTTCTAGCAAGAAGCAGATTTTTTTTAGTCTTTTTTTTTTAAGGATATATTCATACAAGAACCAGGGTACAAGCCAGAGGTGCGAGAGGGTGAGAAGATTCCCCAGAGACAGAGCAGGGAGCAGAACAGGCAGACTGATGAAATACACTGCTGAGGGTCGCAGCGGGCAGGACAGGAGAGGTCTGCTCGCCTGCCTGGCGGGCCGGGAATCGAACCGGCGCTGCAGAGGTGTGGACAGCTCCACAGTGCTGCGCTCAAACCGCTGCGCCAACGGGAGCCCCAGACGCAGATATTTCCAAGCCAGAAATCTTGGGGGGAGCTGACCAGTCCCAGCTGCCCCCAGCCCCGGCTGAGTCAGGTCAGGGGGTGTCCCCACAGCACTGCGGGGGGCTGGGGCCGACACCACCTCCGGGGCCCGCGTTACAGCCTCTGCCTCCCTGGGAGCCGCCCCGGCCTCTGGCCTTCGAGGACGCTGAGGGGCACATGCAGCTCATGGGCCAAACGGGGGGACCATGTCCCAGAGAGTTTTCAGTGTCGGGGTGAGAAGAGCGGACTCTGTCGCGTCTCATGCTCCCATCATGGTGTCGTTTATTGTGCCCGTGGATGTGTCGTGCATGTGAGACACATCAGGATTTGGGGGGACTGTGCGGAGAGACCCTAAAAGCCAAAACCTGGGACAGGTGCTCGCGACAGAGGACACGGCCTCGCCAGCGCCCCGCGGGCTTCTGGAACGGGGTGGATTCCAGTCTCCAGGGCGTCTGTCCACACACATCTTGGCGGGTGCTGTCCCTTGAAGGCTGAATGGCCCCCGGGGTGCCCTCTGCCGGGGGCGTGGCCTCTGCTCCGACGCCACAAAGAGCTCTGTGATGTCACCCGCGGAGCCTACTTAAGCCCCCGCGAGGCCCGCAGAGGTGTAGGTTTAGCGAGGAGTGTTGGGATCGTGACGGTGGAATCGGAGGGAGATAGAGTCATGTTGGTGGATTGGCTTGCTTTTGCTTTGTTTATTTCTTATTCAGTTATTTATTATAGCTATTTATTTTAGTTATTTTATTTTTAATTTGTTTTTTTTCCCTTTGTTTTATTTCTTATTTTATCTTTTTATTATTTTATTATTATTTTTTTTTATTTTCCCCATCTTCCCTCCTGTTGTTATTTGTGTGTTTTTTCCCTTTTTTTTATTTTAGTTGTTAGTTTGTAATTGTTCACTTGTGGTTTGTTCATTTTGTCTGTGTTCTTGTTAACTTTAGTGGTTACTTTGTTATTGTTTCTTTTATTATATTTTTAAATATTTATCTTTGTTAATTTTTTGGTTGTGTTTTCATTTTTGAGTGCATAGTTAGTTAGTATTAGTATCCTAGTTAGGTTAGCATAGTTAGTGTTTCTGGTAGAGGTAAGTTAGTGTCATTATTGTTTCGGTAGAGTAGTCAGCACGGGTAGCATTTAGTTAGTTTTGGGATCCTTTTCACGTACTACTAGCTCTAGGCTAATAGTGCACTTGTTAATCAGGTAGCGGAGCTAGTGCCGAGGGCTCTAGCCAGCCAGGGCCTGCCAGCTTAGGAGCGGGTCCGCCTTCACTGCCCAGATGCGCCCGTCTGCCAAGGGAATGGCCCTGAGAAAGTAAGTGATGCTCCGCAAGCTGGGGGAGGGTGCCCATGCCAAGGTCAGGCTGGTGCAGCACCTGTCAATGGGCATGGAGGTGGCCATAAAGGTCATCCCCATGTCTGGCACGCCTCAGAGGTTCCTGGCCCGCGAGGTGGCCTGCATGAAAGTCCTTCGGCACCGAACGTTCTCCAGCTCTTCCAGGTATTGTACACTGAGGATGAGGTACTGCTGGTCCTGGAGCGCGTGCAGGAGGGCAACCTGCAGGACTGCCTGTTGAAGTGCGGGAGCCTGGGGGATATGGAGGTGCACCGCCTCTTCCAGCAGATCTTGGCAGCGCTCAGCCACTGCCACGCCAGGGGTGTTGTGCACCGGGACCTGAAGCCGGAGAACCTGCTCCTGGACCAGCACCGAACTATAAAACTGGCAGACTTCGGGCTCAGTGCCTAGTTCTCTGAGGCAGCCCTGCTCAAGACCCCCTGTGGCAGCCGCAGTTCGTGGCCCCTGAGATTCTCCGTCACAAGGAGTACAGTGGCCGCGAGGCGGACATCTGGAGCCTGGGGGTGGTCCTCTAGTACATGGTCACCGGGAAGCTGCCCTTCAAGGGCACCAGCCTTGGGGAGCTGTGGGCCAGGGAGCTGAGTGGCGTCTATCATGAGCCGCACTACCTCTCTCAGTGTGCCGGGACCTGCTGAGGAAGATGATGAGCTTGACCCCCTCAGTGGCAGCAACCTGGACAGTGTCATCCAGCACCCCTGGGTGTGGCTGACAAATGGACTCCCCTGCCGGGAGCCATCCCAGGGCCAGCACAAGGATACAATGGAAGCAATGGTCCGCCTGGGGTTCTGGAAAGAGGTCATCGACAGGGCGCTTTTGGAGGGCAGGTATGACCCTGTGATGGGGACCTTCCTCAAGCTGCTTTCCAGGCAGCGGGTGGACGAGGAGGGGCCAGACCCCACCATCTCCCCAAAGCTCCTCAGTCCTGATGGGGCCCACTGTGCCCCGATACCGGAGGACCACTGGCAGCCTGAGGTCTCGGGGCCTGAGAAATTGCGGGTGGGACTGTCCCCGAAGCAGGACGCCCAGAAGCCCACCACCACCTCCGGGCAAGGCATCCCGCAGGAGGACGCCAGCATTCAGAGCTCGGTTTCCAGCTCAGGGACCCTGATGCCAGATGCCTGGAAGCCCAGCATGGCCTCCAGTCAGGGCCCGTGCTGTGGGAGGCATGGGGGCCCAACACCACATCGCTTCCAGGCCCCCTGCAGGAGCAAGCTCTGGGCCCCAACACTACTTTTCCAGGCCCCCACCTGGAGGGGGGCAGGAAAGCATTAGGAAGACATCCAGCCCAGCCTCCCAGCTCTCCAGCACCACCCAAATAACCCCAAGAAGGCGCCTCTTGTTCAGCTCACCGGTGGCCCTGCAGAGACACTGGGCCATGAAAACCATTCCCAGTCCACCCTTGGAGGCTACAAGGCCAGAGCTAGAAGAATCCTTAATAGGATTTTAAAATGTTGCTATTTCTGTGCACCCTTCAGAGGAAAACACAAGAGCAGTGTTCACCCTACTGGGGATTAGATGATCACCAGCACCTCCCTAGAATTCACTTCCCCGCTCCAGGGCAGCCACTCAGTGGCCATAGTGAAATGAGCACAGCAGTGGAGGCCAAAGCCCTGGAGAGGGGTCAGGGGTTGGGCCCAGCCAGAGGGGCCAGGAGCAGCATGAGAACATAGACGTGGAGCACAGATGTCCGCAAGCACAGCAGTCCCAGGAGCAGAGCAGGTGAAGGGCCGGTAGGGCAATGGGACTTGTGAAGCACCTGGAGGAGAGCAGAACAGGGGAAGGGGGCAGAGGAGGGTTTGGGGCAGCTGAGCAGGTGCAGGGCCCAGGATGGGAGTGGAGCTGTGCGGGCTGAGCCTCCAGAGGCCCCAGGGCCAGAGGCTGGGACCCCAGGGCCTTGCTTCCCCATCTTAGGCTCTATCCCGTGAGGGCCCTGCTGGTGGCCCCTGGGCACCCGGACGGCACAGATGATGCAGGAGCTCTTCGGGCTTACTGGCACTGTCAGGGACTGACATCCACAGTAGGAAGTCCCCCTCTACTGAGCCCCTTTTCACAACAGAGATTCCAAGTTGGAGAATTGCTCACCTGCCAGCGAGTGATGCCTCGGTAGGTCTTCCTGGTTTCCATCTGCACTTTGTCGCATCTGAGTCCGAGCAGCACTCCTCGGGGGGGTGTCACTAAGGAAAGAGCCTCCTCTGTGCCTGGGCTTCACTGGCTCTGCTCTTCCCACGCAGGTCCAATAGGGCTCGAGGAGGTGGCCACCTTGGACACACTGGTTCCCACTGCAGGGGCATCTCCATGTGACCCACTCTACCTACAGGGCCCTGGGGCGTGGAAGCATCTGGATGCTCTTTCTCCGCCTGGAGGAGACAGTCTGAAATGGATTATTTAGTTAAAATGTCTACCCCAGGACTCATTAAAATGGTGTATGAAACCAACCGTGTTTGCTTCCCATTTATGACTGCACCCAAACTTCCAACACATCGGACGCCAGAGACCTAAATTTCCTTTAACATTCTTGTAATAAGCAGTGAAAGGTTTAGAAAATTTAGAAAATTTTGGAAAGCATTTTGAAAATTTTAGAAAAGTCAGAGGGGTCACGTGGTGATAAGACAGTGTGACAGGAGTGTGAAGCAGAGCTAGCTGTGTGTACAGAATTAGGGATTTGCACTGTTTTCTTTAGGTGTATGTGCATGTCTTGAACTGTGTGCAAGTGTGTGCATGTGAGTCTACATGAGTGTGGCTTGTGTGTGCTTCTATAGCTATGAAGTATTTATGTACCTTCTACCATCAGAAAAACACTCCTAGCTGTAGAGAATTGGTACAATGTCTTCATATATTTGGCCTCCCAGATGGCCCAGTGGGTTGGGCCCAGTGCTGAGGGAAGTCCTGAGTCTCCAAAGGCCCCAATGTGGCTTGTGTCCCCGAGTCCACAACTGTAGGGGTTTAATTCTCCTCCAGTATAACTGTAGATGCAGGTTAGTTAAAGTTTTCCCAGTTTCTTGCCACTGGTCACTTCTCCTGGTGTGTGTCACCCATTTATCTTTCTGTGGCATCAATTTGGCCTGTACAGTGTTGTGAGTATATGGTGGCGGTGAGCCCAGTGTCTTCACTCTGCCTCCGTATGGCCTCTCATGTGTAACCCAATTCATTTTTGAGACCATAATTACTTTGTAAATCAAAACAACTAAATACAATAAAAAGACAATAAAACTCCCCATTGAGAAAATTTCTGTCCCTGTTTGTGACAGTGCCCAGCTGACCCTGCTGAATGGTTTCTTGGGGTGTGTCCTTTAGTGACACAGAGAGGGCCACTGCTTTCACTGCATGGATCGGTTAATAATAACCCATTTTAGAAAACCAAACACTTGTAGCCAGCTTGTGGCAGGCTGTGTGGCTTCTGGTCACTCAAGACTCAGGAAAGCCTGGATTCTCTTCAAGGGAGAGTGTAAAGTCACCTCCTGAGGCAGTGTCCAGGGGTCCAAGGTCCCTCTTCCAGGCTCTGAATGACCACATCATCTGCACAACAAGGAAGCAGCACTGCAGCCCTCACATGTGGGCCCAAGACCAGCAGGGGCAGCATCTCAGACCCCTTGTGAGAAATGCAGAGCCCCAGGTGCCAGCAACCGCCTGGGTAAGAACTTGTGTCCTGGGAAGACTGGGACACGACTGCCCTCCTGCCTGCTGGAGCTGGGTGGGGAGGGGGTGTCAGCCCCAGAGAAAATTACAACATGTAAACTTATAATTCCCCAAATTATATTCTAAATTCACAGAAATTAAGCACACAAATAAGTGGCACACAGCGGTGTGCCCGGCAAACCCACCCCAGGGGTGACCAGTGCAGCAGGGAAGCGCTGGGAGCAAACACGGGGGACGCGCTTTCGGTCAGGGGCGCTGGCCACCACGGGGTCACACTCAGGAACGACCTGACCCCCACGTTCCTCCAGGACCCAAAATGACCCGCGCAGAGCTCTGCACCCCCAGCCCGCCCCACCCCGGGTTCCGTGACTGGCCCCCTGCACCAGCCACCGGCAGCGATGTGTCCTCACCTCCCTCTTGCTCCGGGTGGCTCCTGAAGAAACGGGGCTCCCGCAGGCAAGAGCTTCACCCCGAGTCTGGAGCAGCGAGTGCCGAGGAGACCCCAGCAGCGGGGGAGGCAGGAGCGGGCACAGGGCCAGGGCGGCAGGGGCGGGTGTCGGGGCGGCCCAGGGCCGGGCCAGCGGGAGAACCCGGGGCTCACGGGGCGCCCCGCCCGTCCTGCTGCGCTGAAGCTCAGAAAACCCAACTACACGGAGGCGAACACCCCGCGTCTCCACGACGCCGTTAACGTAGAATTTCCACGCGACTCCACAGCAAGTCGCGCCCCGTGACTGAAAACACGCGAGGATCGTTCACCCGCGACCCCACAGGCCCGAACCCGCTGCCCCCACAGGGAGAGACTGGGCGTCCCGCCCCCATTATTCCCTGCCTCTCCCCGCCCCGCCCCCAGCCGGCGCGCTCCCCGCCTGCGCGCTGCCCCCAGGGCTGCTCCCTCCTTGGCCCGCGGGCCGCTCTGCTGTGGCGGGCGCTCCTGGCCCTGAGTCTCCGCCACTTCTGCTCCCGCAGCAGCGCGCAGGGACGTGACGTCAACACGCAGGGGGCGGGGCGAGGCCGAGGACGGACAGGCTCGCGGGGGAACCAGGGAAGGAGACGCGGCGCGCGCCGCCTGGTGACTGGGAGGGGCAGTGCCGCCCAGGCTGGAGAATGGTGGGCAGAGGCCCCAGGCCTGGCCAGAGGTGCAGGGGGATGGAGCCATGGCCGAGGGGCGGGTCAGCCTGGCCAAGGAGAGACGCAATCATGGCGAGTGGTGGAGGGGGGAGGCCCGCGCAGAGGGAGGGTAGGAAGCGAAGCGGAGTGTGTGACATCTGAGCCTTCAAGATGGGGAGACAGAATGATGTGGAGGCAAGAACCTGCTGAAATAGGGGTTGTCGCTCATTCAGCAAAATTGTGTATCGTCCTTCTGTGGGGAACTTAGACTTCAGCTATTAGAATTTGGAATATTATATATATGCATGTGCATTAAAACAAATAGTAATGCAGTGTTTGAGAAATGACCTAAGGAAATGCTGTGAACACAAATAAAAATGTATATCCGTAAAAATGCTAACCAGCACGTTCTTGTACTAATACAGGAAACAATCTCCAACAGAACTCCAGGAAACAGTCAAATATGTGACAGTAAATGTAGCAATTAGGTACAATCATTCTGAATAGTTATCAATGAGTTGGAAAATACTTATAACATTAAATGAAAGAGAAACAATATAAAATGGCAAATATAGTGTTATTCCAGCATGAATATAAAATTTTATGAAATAATATACTGTGCATGTAGAACAGAAGGATGTAGTTACTTTGCATTTGGTGGAATACTATGCAACAGCGAAAATACAGAGACTCTAGCTAAATCCAATATGTGGGTCACCTTGCCTACATGTCGTTGAGTGAAAGAGTCAAGATATAAAATGAACATATGACTGATTTAAATTTTAGATACCAGACAAAATTGAAATCAGGTGTTAATCATGTGTGTCACTTAGTGGCAAACTTAGGTGAAGAACTGTTCTGAAAGGCAGGGGGAACACTTGTAATGACAGCCACACATTTGTGCTTAGTCAGAGAAGAAGATTACGATAGTGTGGCCTTGTGTTTCTTCACCCGGTTAATGAAGTTAATTTACTCATTCAGAAATTTCACGTTTATACTATCCTGGACCCTTGCACACTGGTGTTTCAACAGTGAGGCTTCCCTTAACCCAGGAAGGGCAGCTCACCACTTCTAATTACTCTCGTTTCCTCAACTATCCAAGTGACTCTAGACATCAGTGACATCCTGTTTAATGTGCTATTTACCCAGTTGCACGCAACAGATACAGCACCCAGAGCAAACCTAGAATATGTGTCCCCTTCTTCATTGACATCAACCAACTGCCCCTGTTCCATGGAAATCTTGTGATCACCCCATAGGAATAGAGGATATTACCACATGTGACACAGACACCCACAAATAGGGATGCCACAGAAACACTGAAAGTGACAGATGGCCTGTTACTACTTTACTGGAATCAGGTTATGTTCAAGTGTTTGATGATTATAGATCCTTTCTGGTGATTTCTTTTTCCCTAAACACACTCTAAAATATGATTTAACAAAAGAAAGAGCTAGCTGGATTTTGGAGTTAATTTTGTTATAAAAGTTATATTTTATTTATCCTTTGTGCTAAACTGTAATTTATAATCTTTTTAAAATATTTATTTTATTCATTTATGCTACAAGAACTGGGATGTAGGCCAGCGTTAGAGGGAGTGAGAAAAATTTACCAGAGATAGAGTGGGGAGCAGAACAGGCAGATCAACTGAAATACACTGCTGAGGGCAGCTGTCCCACCCCCATGAGCCATGTGGTTCAGCTCCCTGGACAGGGTCGAACTTGTCCTGCAGTGGCCATGGATAGATTTATAGTACTGAGACTTAACCCCTGCATCACCAGGAGGGACCCTATACTTTGTAATCTTCAGAAATTTGAAGATACATTAATGGCTCTCTTTTCATTTTCTGAAATTACAGAAAGGAATAAACAAGGATATATGTGGGGAATAATTGTATATACACACAGGGTTGATTGATTCCAATATCCACTTGCAGAGCCACTGTCTCCTGTCAAAAGGCAAAGAGCTTACTTTTTTATTTTTTTAAAATTCTTATTTATTTGTGCATGCAAGAACTGGGGTACAGGCCAGAGGTGTTGGGCTGAGAGGATTCCGCAGAGAGAGCAGGGAGCAGAATAGGCAACTGACAGAAATACACTGCTTAGGGGAGCTTTGGGGGAGAGGAGAGGTCTGCTTTGCCATGTGGGTCACCTCCTTTCCCAGAGATCAAATTCCTGATGTAGTAGCTACGGATTACATCATAGTGCTCATGCTTAACCCCTTGCACCACCAGGCAGGCCAGAGCCTACATTTTTTAAATTGAATGGGAAACCAAAATATAATTTTTTCCCAGATCTAGCCTGATGGTTTTGTCACACCTCCCAGGGTGTCAGTCCTCAGCCCTGATCAGTGCTAAGTGGGGAATTCCTGATGTTACTGGGAGCCTCCACATGTGCACAGGAAGTAGGGAGGAGGGTCACTTGGGCCGAACTGGGTCAAAGGGACAGCAGGGCCTGATCCGAACAGAGGATATGCACCCGAGCTTGGGTGTCTGCCAGTTGATGGTACTTTAAGGTGTAAATCTACTCAGGAGAAAACATAGTTTATTTGCATCGAAGCCATCTGTCTTTCCAAGTTCTGTGATTGAATCTCTGATTCTTCAATTAGTGCTTAGTGAGAAGTGTTTCAGCTGCTCTTCCTCGTTAGTTTTCACAATCCTGGGTCTCCGGGCGCTCCTGCTTGCTATTCAGTGTGTACCCCAACCCTGCTACACAGAGCAGAGGCTCCCACACAGGTAATCTAAAGCTACTCTCACCTGAGCGAATCCAGTCCGAATCCAGAGCGAATCCCCCAACCCGAATCCAGTCCGATATCCCGCGGGGTGTCCCAGGGAGTGCTCCACAGTGAAGGTCATTCACTCTGACCTTCTCAGGCCATGGCCTCTCTAGAATGGGTGGAGGGGCTGTATTTCATGAAGAAGGGATAGAATTTACACACAGACGTGTATTTGCTATTTTTAATTAATGTCAGTGAAAACACGGACGGGAATAAAAGACCACACGTGACATTGTAGATGGACCCTGGAGACGCGGGCACTGTCCACGCACAGGGCAGCCTCCTGCAGAGAGGCGGACAGGGGCAGGGGCAGGTCTCTCCTGGCGCCCACCCCCAGAGGAGCACCCCGACCTCTTGCCTCTGACAAGTCTGCCTCCTGCACTCTAGGTGGAGAGAGAATATTCCTGGGACAACACGGGCATCCCCAGGGTGTCAGGACAGGGTCGCACCCGCGCCCACTGCTTGCAGACTCTCGGCCCCGCCACAGCGGCCCCCTGGGGGACGGGCCATAGACCCCCGCGCAGACCTGGCCTCGAGGTCAGGCCCGCCGTGTCCACGACTTCCGAGGCGTCCAGGGCCCAGGGCGGCTGATGTGAGGTCCCCGGGGTCTCTGAGCAGCGACCTCAGTGGCTGAGGCACCTGCCTGCACTCCCCCAGCCCGGCCCTGCCCCCCTCCAGCCGTCCCCTCCGTCGCCGCCAGGGGGCGCTGCCCTGCCACAAGTTGGGCGGCTGGCCAGAGAAACTATGTCAGTCACTCCCGGAAATTTTTGTCCACACCCAGGCCTTGTCCAACATAACTTTGGCTAATGAACAACTCAGGCTCACATTTTTCACCTCAGAACTCATACATAAACACGTCTTTTTTTTTTTTTTTAGGTGAAATGATAAACAAAGTTTAGATTTCCTACATTAAGAAGCAAAATATAAACCAAAACCTCATTAAGTAGTCAAGTTTTCATTTTATTGAACTTAGGAGATCCTTAGTTTTATAAGAGAAATATTCCTATAAAATATTAAATAATTATAGAACAGATTTAAGATAGAGAAACCAGAAGTAGATTTAGTTTTTGTTAGGATACGAAGTTCAAAATGCAGCATTACAAATGAAACAAATTCATGTACCAGAGGTTTTTATTTTTTTGTTAATTAATTATTATTTTTTTTTTTGCTAGGGCAAGGGAGGAAACATCAATGAAGGTGCTCACCAGTGCTTTAATTAAACCATTGCATTTTTTTTTAAAGATTTATTTATTTTATTTATACAATCATTGGTACAGTCAGAAGAGCGGGAGGGTGAAAGAATTCACCAGAGCCAGAGCGGGGAGCAGAGCAGGC